AGTCCAGTCTTGAGGTCACAAGGGCTTGAATGACTATTCTGAGTGCCTCCTGGTTCAGGTAGGGATGCAATTGGTGCACCAGGCGAACCTGGGCAAATGTCCCCCTGGTCACAGCTGACAAATGGTGTTCTAAAGTCAGCTGTGGATCCAGGAGGATTCCCAAATTGCGAACCCTGTCTGAGGGGCGTATAATTTCACCCCCCAGCCTGAGAGTTGGAATACAAGGCCAATTATTGGGAAATATCCTGGTCCAGTCTCTGCAGGGAATGGATATGGTGGTGCTGGTGGGATGGCCCCATAGGTATCAGCTGCATAGTTGCCCAACGGCCCATAAGGCGTAAGAGGCTCAGATCCGGGAAGGCTGCTGGATCCCGACTGGGCTTCAAGGAGCAGGCAGCAATTGCACCCAGAGCCAGCGGGGCATGGGGTGAAGAGGGTGGGCCGAGGGGAGGAGAGCAACCCTGGGGTCGCCTCAGAGGAAGCTCGGCTCAGAGAGTCCTCTCCCCCCCGCCCCCGCAGCCTTTAATTAGGTCGATTTTATACTATTCCACTTATATTATTATAAATTATGCAGTTTTATCTTTTAACATTGTAAGTCGCCCAGAGTTACCGTGTGGCACGATAGGCAGCTAATACATTTTGCAAATAAATGAACAAACAAATAAAATTCCCATCTCTTCATAAGCTTCAAAGTTTGCAACGTGACAAAACTAAACCACAAGAATGAGTTTCCCCAGAAGGTTGATACGTGTCTGCCTTTTATTTCAGGCGCAGAATGTCCCAAAAGCTATTTTCTCATTTGGCATAGAGAACCTGGGGGCATTCTTGATAACTCAGCTGGGCTGTTCGGTTTCCCTGCAGTGGCTCACCTCATAACGTGTCGAGGCAATGAAATTCAGATGCTCTCCGACATCGTAACTTATGGAAAATGCAAGGTCAAGAAGATCCTGAGGGAGGGGAGAGAAAGCAGGATGGTTAATGGAGGAACTATTGCTGGCAGAAGGAAAGGCAATTCAAAACTCATTAACCGGATCAGCAAAACACAAGCCTGGTTGAAAATGGAATTGGTTTTTTTTTTTTTAAGGGAGTCAATATGAGGCAGGAACTCAGACACAGTCTTAGTACCGTATTTTTCGGACTGTAAGACACACCTAAATTTATAGGAGGAAAATAAGAAAAAAAAATAAGTTTTTGGCCTCCACGTGTCGTGTTTTCGCCCACCCAGGCCTCCAGAAGCATTCTGCAGTGCTCCGCAGGGCCCATTTTTGTCAAAACATGCCCATTTTTGGCCTGCAGAGTGCTTCTGGGGGTCTGGGAGGGCAAAAACGCAACACGCAGAGGGCTTGGGAGCCCCAAAATGCTTGTATTCAGTCTATAAGGTAAAGGTTCCCCTTGCACATATGTGCTAGTTGTTCCTGACTCTAAGGGGTGGTGCTCATCTCTGTTTCAAAGCCGAAGAGNAAGCTTCCTAATGGCTATTCATGCCCTTTTTTTAAAAAAGAAAGAAAGCGGGCCTTCTTTTTGTCAAAAACGGGCCATTTTTGAGAGGTTTGCAGAGTGCAAAAACCTTTTCTTAAAAGATTGCCTCTTCAAAACCTTGGTGCATCTTATACTCTGGTGCCTCTTATACTCTGAAAAATATGGTAGCTTTATCTTTTTTTTTCTGTTAAAATGAAATTATTCCCCTCAAAAAGAAAAACCCTTAACTATACAGTGCTGGGGGATACTACTTTATTGTAAAGAATTCTCCAGCAATAAGTCTTTCCCGTGTTCCCAACATTCTACACTGAATTAAAAAAAGAATACATAAGTGTTTTTGTTATTGATCTTTATGGTGGGAGTACTGCTACTAGAAGCAAATAGCCCAAATTCCAAATTATGAAAAAGTCATTTTTATTAGTACCCACACAAATGGTATATAATATTTTTAAAAGAGCAAAGGAAGAGTAGGCAGATAAAGAAAGAATGTGGTAGATTACCTTTTAACACTTAGACTTTAAAACTATAAAATCTCAATGTCAACACAGTATCATATAACTATTCTTGATAGCTCTATCTATATGCTCAGGTGTAAAATGTATGTTGAGTTTATCTGTCATAACATGAAAGAATTCTAGCTAAATTGTTTGGGAGGTGTTTATGGAACACTGAATCAAGAATTGTGGATGTTTCTTATTGTTCCCAAATAACATAAGGCCCATTCATATATAGTATAAACTAAGCAATGGTTTAGCAATCTGGGAATCATTGTATGGACACCCACTCAGAGCTTCTAATAACATATCCTGTCACACGGTGAATGACATTTTTCTGTTAAATATACAACCACCAACTATAGATGGTCACAAACCAGGAAGCATTAATTAATTATGGTGCATTAATTTAGTACAATAAGTAAAATATCTCAGTTTAATAAGAGACTTTTTCTTATAATGCTATACTACTAGTGTAGTCTACTTATTGACTACTTAAATCAATAAGTAGTATTAGAATAAATACTGCTAGACTACTATTTTTACATTTAAATCTTACCCCTCCCCTCTGGAACTTAAAGATGGTGTATATGGTAGCTCAACAATGACATCCTGGTAAGATACATTGATCTGCCTGCATAGGCGCATGTTTGAGACTGAATTTCAATCTAGATCTCCCTGGTTTAATCTAATCCTTTTATTTCAGGGGTGTCCAGCCTTATGATTTGCCTGGGCCACAATGAATAAAAAGAAATTGTCTCGGGTCATGCATAAAATATCTAATATAGTTAATGTATATAAATAACACCATTCAAATACATTACGATCTTATGGGGCCACATTACTAGCTGTCCAGAATTGCATGCGACCCAAGTTGGGGCTACAAGTTGGGCCACAAGTTAGACACGCCTTACATTCAACATCATCTGGCCCTGTATAATTTAGCATTATAGTGATTCACTAATTCTGGCTTTAGCTGCCGACAGAACAATATATAAGAAATAACATTAGGTCACATAGATTTGTTTTGGGGATAGGGTATAGATACAATATTATATCTTTGTGGACTCACTAAATCCAAGCAAAGATAACAGTCTCACTTTCATATGGTATTTTTCAGCACCAAGGGAATGCACTAGATAAACTAAGGCATTACCATTACTGGATGCAAGGAAAAAAAATAGAAGAATACATTGTTTGCTCTTATCCTCAAAGAAACATTTTCCCTTTCCAAATAAAAACTACTCATTCTTATTTGAACTAAGGCAAATAACAGTGCTTGACAACTCTCAATGAGAGAGTGTTCTTTTTTTTTTTAATGATACTCTATTCTGCTTTGAAAATGCTATAGAGAAATTACAATGTCCAAAAAACCCTGCCTGCCTAAGGGGCTCAGAATGATTTGGGACATTTCAGAAGCAACCTCCAGCAGCTTCAGACTCAGATTGACCTGACAATCATGGCTCTACCTCAATTGCTTTGGGGCTCAAAAGATGTAAGGACATAAATCAGCTCCAAACTGTGGGAAATGACTTTTGTGCAATTGCACATAAAGCACTTTATAGAGTTTGACCATCTCTACTGCAAATCCTGTGACAGCTCACCTTCCCAGGTTTTACAGCTCAACACACTCAGCACTTCTGAAGCCATTTAATGTTTTGATCAGTTACAATAACTGTATTTAGTCTCTGTAACCAAGGCCATTTAGTGGACACAAAGAAGACAACATCAATCTTGTGGTTTTCTGCTTAATCCTCAGGCAATTTTGGCTAGCAATTATAATATAAGCGAAATGGATTAATGTCCTATAAATGGCTGTGTATACTGAGTAATTCTGAGTAAGTTGTTATGTACGTTTCAAAGTCCTCTGAGAAACAGAGGAAAAAAATGACAACACAAGTGCAAAGAAGCCATAGTGCTCCTCCCACCTTCCACCAAGCTTCCTGTGCAGACAGATTTTCTCCAAAATATTTATTTACAAAGCCTTTGCTATGACTTCCACAAAAGATTGTTGGTCCATGACAAACACATAAACCTTAAGTAAAAGTTAATCACCGGAATGTGGTTTTCTTCCCTATTTATTTTGCAAAGCAAAACGCAAAACAAGAACAAAAATGTCAACAGGATTGAAAGAAAACTACTACCAAGACCAAAATCATAATATGAGGGGAGGAACTATTCAAGAGTCTACACTTACGCACAAATACAAATTACTGCTCTGTGATAAACACAAAAACCACAGCTACAAGGTATTCACTAGGATTTGATTTGCTGTTCAGTTTTACTCTCTCCTCTATCAGGTGAAATATGAGTAAACAAGTTCATTAGCTAATAAAGTACACGCCCTGAAACTGTCTCACCGAAACATTCACTTTGTCTCATTTAAAGCTCCGATGAAGTAATCAGTCTCTTTACAATAAGCTTCTTGATAAAGGTCAATGCAAAAGCAATGTCACAGTTAAATCATAAGGTGCCAGGATGCAGTGAATAGTACAAACACAAACAGGCAATTTATATACATTTATGCTACTATTTTGCCAGACAAGGAATAATGGATGGAAATTGATCAAGGAGAGATTCGACCTGGAAATAAGGAGCAATTTTGTGACAGTGAGAGCAATAACCAATGGAACAGCTTGCCTTCAGAAGTTGTGGGAGATTCATCACTGGAAGCTTTCAAGAAGAGACTGCACTGCCATCTGTCAGAAATAGTGGAGGGCAGGGATGCCAAACTCTATTTCATTGAGGGCCGCATCAGGGTTGTATTTGACCTTGGGGGAGGTTGGGGTGGAGGGGCCAGGGTGGGCATGGCCAGCTCGACGTCACTCTTGTCGGGGGCGCATGTGGTGGTTCAAACGCTCTTCCAGCAAAAACAGGTTCCCGAGCTCAGTTTTCGGCTGCAACAGCCTCTGTAACCCTCTGCCAGTGAAAATGTTGCTTGGGAGGGACACATTCGGCCCCCCTGAGCTCTGTTTTCACTGCCAGTGGAAGCTGAAAACGGAGTTTGGGAGCTCATTTTCACTGTCAGAAGCACCGTAGGCCAGCCCTTTGCTGTTTCCAGGGTGGCCCCATGGGCCAGAACTAAGTACCCCATGGGCCAGATCCAGCCCCTGGCCCTTGAATTTGACACCCCTGACGTAGGGTCTCCTGCTTAGACTGCGGGTTGGACTAGATGACCTACAAGGTACCTTCCAACTCTGTTAATCGGTTACAATGCATCCGACTGCCCAGGGTATCATGAACACAACATCCAGGCACATTTTCCTGCCAATGTTGCTTCAATTCCTATAGTCCATTTGGCTGGTATACTTGAGTTGTTCAAGGCTAACTTCATCATTTTATTTGTTGTAGCACAAAGTGCCAGGAATGCTCCTCACCCTCTAACCTGTGGTCAACACCCTCTGTGCTACCACAGGTTAGTGTGAGAGGCATTCCTAGCTCTTTGTGCCCCTTGAATTTTTTTTCCCTTTAAGAACTTCACAGGTGGATTATTGAAAACCCTCCCCCACCAATTCAGTATGTTTTAAACTGAAAATGTGGCTTCCTATATGAAACAACCAAATAAGCAGCATTCTCTATAACTGTTATCTTTTTAATAAAATAATGAAGTGGATAAAGTGTTCTCTCATATTAATTATTTTATTTGGGTAAACTGTACATAAATAATAAAAAATGGACTGTTTAACTTCGTGTCATGTGGAATTGTATCAACTTCTTTTTACTCAGGAATCCATTGAAACATACAATTTGACCAGATATGCTGAAACATTTTCATGAGGCTAGATGGACGTATAAATAGGTTGACATCTGCCCAAACCTACATTCCTCCTCTCAATAGAGGCAAGGCCAAAATGCAATATAAATTAAACAGCTACTTATTAAAATGAATTACCTATAAAATAACATAACTTCTACTTATAAAAGCAATTGCTTATTTGCATATATTATTCTGATTGGCCAGAGGCTGTAATAAAAATTCATTCATTCATATACAATTCATATTTCTCTCATAGAAACCCATTGATGTAGATACATTCTCAACTGCCTTCCAGCGGAGAAAAACAGAGATGCATTAAGGTATAATTGGCAGAGAAAGAAAGGAGAGAGCCTTGACTTAGCCATTAACAAAAGGACTAAAATTAGTATGGAGGCAGCCAGCATATATGCTCCCACAAAGCGACACCTGATCCTGAGGCAAATCCTAAAGAGAACTACATTTTTCTGCAGCAATCTTTGCAGCTCTTTACATATTTACTCATTCTCTTCCTTTCACACTCATTTATTTCTCTATAAACTTCCTCCAACAATTCAACAATTATAAAACTATCACGTAGATCAGTCTGGACCAAATCCCAGAATTCCCCAGCCATCTGCACTTGAAGTTCACACTTCTTACAGTTGTTGAGGTTAAGAAACACTGAAATTGATTTACAATTGGCTATAAAGTAATTCCAGTAGGGATAAAAATATTTCTGCCTGATTTTAAGTGGCATCAACACTTGCACATTACTGCAAAGCACACTTCAGCATGGCACATATTTATAAAACAAACACAAATGCTGCAACTGTCCCAAATAAACATTAAATAGTTAACTTACCCATTCTTCTACATTAGGAGTTTCATCATAAACTTTTGCGTTATCCCAGAGTATACTCATTTTGCCATAATAACCAATTTTACTTCGGGTCTTTACTGCGAAAAATATTATTATAGCCAAAGCTGCAGCAATCAGGAAGCCTAACACAATGGCAATAGCCTGGGGAAAAAGTAGATTTGTATGTTTAGACTACTGCTTTTACAACCACAAATAATCTTAAATAGAATGCCTGTCTTTTTCAAATTACAAATAAACAAAATGGAATCATTTATATGGTAACTGAAAAATGCAAGATTCAAAAATATATTCAACCTGCTGTTTCCACTATATTGGAAACTAAATTGCCACTAAATTTTGATTTATATGGAAAACTAAACAAATTGGTGGAGAGCTTCTTAAACATAGAAATAAGTATTATTATTTACATGAATGTCCACAGCATGAATTATTTTAACAATAAGATTTATGCACTAAATAAATATGTTCCTCATATTTATTTTATTGAAAGTCTGGTGGAACACTGCTTTTTGGAAAAAAGAATCTAATCTTCTCCATGTTTAATCTACATAATATTTTTTCAGGCAAATACATGCATTTTTAATATAATAATCAAAATATTAATAAAGTTTATTTTTTTAAATAA